GGACCATAACCTGGAGTGTAATAGTAAGGGAACAGCCAGAATGTTCTTGAGCGTGCTTGGCTGCCACAATTCTTACATATGACCGACCAGGCTCCGAATATGAGTAAAAGTAGCCTGCCCCAACATCCCATGTCCACGCGAGGTGACATACGTAAGGGCCTATCCTTCGTGGGAGGAACATCCGAAATTGACTTAGGCTGCCCATTTGACAAGATGAAAGTGGCAAGACGCCCATCGCTTCAATTGCTGGTCATTCGATCCCCTAGTCACAATGGGAAATGTTGAGCAGAAGTCTTGACATGGCCTGCACAAGAACATTTTAGGCCGGACGTGACTCTCGTCAAGTCTCGCCTCTTGTTTCGAGGTGGCTTATTGGGTCCCGAATGATACCCTATGGGACATATCCTGGAGCGTCCCTTGCTTCCATGCGTGCGCAGTAGATCCGATATCATGGCTCTGTGGCCCATGCTCCTGGTTTCATAAGCCTCCTGGTCCAATGTCCATGGCCTTCTTTTACATTGAACAGGCTTCGCCAAGAACAGACGAAGAACAGCTAGATGAACGAAAACAATACGAGTGTCTTTCACTGAGCCACCCCAGAGGCTCAACTCTAACTTAGCAGCAGAAGAAATGCGCTTACACACACTCCCGCACCCATAGCAACGCTCAACGATCGGAAAAGAAAGAGCAAAGCCTCTTGACAATGAATGGAAACTTTGTCGCACCATCTGCCAGCCCCCCGCCTTGTGTGTGTTGGATGTTGATCAGTCACTGAAAGTCAGCTCCAATCCGATGAAAAGCGCTCGCGTAACCTGTATACGTTCGCTTTCGCGTCCATCTTGGGTACAATCAGGCAACCTGCATGTTAGCGCGCGCCGCCGCCGCACATCGAAGAGGGCAAGAGGCACACAACGCCCATCGTTGCTCATCGTTGCCCATCTGTCCGTCCCATCTTTGCCTGTTCATGTCCGAGGGTGCTGCTTGCTACAGTGGTCTCCCCACCCTGTCAGCTCCGCGTACCTTAGTCGGAAAGCAATGCTCCAGCTTCTGCAACCGCACGCGCGCTTGCTGACCCATTGAGCTGGTGACTGATGGACATTGGATTCAGCTGAGGGCCCGAATGACTGCTACGTAATCGAGCTGCGTGCACGATTTACCTGCTCTAGTAGAATGGATCGTCGGTGCCTCACCATAGTCCGAAGCTCAATAGAGGGTGTCCCGCGGACGGCGGCCTGGTTCCTGATGACGACAGTGCAACGACCACAAACTGAGCTTGAAGGCCCGAAAGTCCGGAGGCTGCTGGTCACGTTCGCTCCGACGGCCCCCGAGTGACATTCCCATGTCACTCCACATCCAGTCGCCTGGAGATCCAGGCTTTAAAGATGCAGAAAGATCCAGCCACACGTTATTCCCAGAACTGAGCTGGAAGACCCACTTTAAAAATCGCATCAGCCACAAGTGGCACGGGCCGAACTGAGCATTTCGAGATTGAAATTTCGAGCATCGCGACTTACCCTTACAGACGTGTCAGGTTGCGTCAGAGTTGAACGACTAGCCATGGCCACTCTACGGGAAAGCTCCCGATTAACTCGGTTCGTCTGCAGGCAGCGCTCGCCATGGAAATTGACCCCTCTTGTCGCCCGGCGATGCGAATCTACCGCTGCCGCTGAGGCTCAGTTCCCCGATCTTGAGACCTCGTCCCTGGCTGCTCCTGGTCCTGACGATGCTGCCATTCAAGCTTTCAACACGGCGAAGCGCTTGGCTGACAGACCGCAGCAGCTTCCCGGGAACAGGTGCGCATGGAAACTCTCAATTACAGCGTGAAGCGGAATGCTAATAGATGACGCGACAGATACCAGTACCATCCCCCTAAGTACGACAGAGGTCCTCTTCACCCGATTCAATCACCGCCCTCCACCGATCCCACGGCCCGCGACTTCGTTCCTGGGCCTTTTAACCTCCCCAGACTGCGCCAGACGTACGATACGACCATCGCCGCCGACCTGCTCACGATGACCTACCTTCACAAGCCCCCAGGTACACCAGACCCCCCGGTACGGGAGCGTTTAAGGGCATGGGACGACTCCTCGCCGTACAACAAGAACCGTCCTCTCCGCGGACCCAGAGGTGGAAGCAAGCTCGACGTGTTGGAGAAGAACATCGACTGCCGGTCCGTCCCCGAAATCTTGGCTGTATCGCTGCACACCTTCATCCCCTCGGCCGCCAAGGCGCCGGGAACGCTCCAGGTCGCTCGTTCGGTCATCCAGTCCATCAGCGGCAACGTCCCCGAGGTCACCAAGACCAAGAACAACGTTATCCAATGGAAGATCCGCGAGGGCGACAAGACCGGTGTCAAGACGACCATGCACGGTCCACAGGCGTACGAGTTCGTTGACAAGCTGATCAACCTCGTTCTGCCCAAGATCAAGGACTGGCCCGGTGTCAATGCGACCACTGGTGACGGAAACGGTGGTATTGGTATCGGTCTGAGGCCCGACGACCTGGTCTGGTTTCCCGAGCTCCAGATCAACTACGACATGTACCCTGCCAAGGTGAGATATTCCGTCTGCCTATGACTTGTGACCACGTTGCTGACGAGTCTTTGCAGCTCCTACCAGGTTGCCATATTTTTATCCACACGAGCGCAACCTCGAACCGTCAGGCCAGGCTTCTGATGCAAGCTCTTGGTCTTCCTTTCTACGGAAAGTTCAAGGATTAAAGAAGGGGCAACATTGCTGGGAAGGGGTATCCCGTTTTGTACGATATCAACACATTTAGAAAGCCTGTATATGAATGTACCAACAGATACGGTCACTCTTGAGATGTATTCTGTGCAATAATTGTGCGATCATGTTCTTGGTTCATCTGATGCGATCATGATCGTCTAATACTATAATGCCATGTTCCTTTGGGTCGTCGTCCCGTACGTCAAAAGAGCCCTCATGCCGATCCACCCGCCGAAACGCCGTCCATGCAAGTTAACCATACCAAATCCTCCCCATACCCATTCCTTTCTCGCATTTCCTTTTTGTCTATGCCGTGATCTTGGCCTTGAGCGCATTCATAATCTCATCAATGTCATCCATGTTCTCAGCGTCAACCTTGCCGTTACGCAGGCCCTTCTTCTGCAGTTCGTCCGTGAGAACGTCCGCGCCGGGTTGGTAGTTCCGCACGGCAGAGCTGAGCGCGTAGACGGCCTTCCTCCTCACAGCCTCCTCCTCGCCGTCCTTGGTCGCGAGCGCCACGAGGGGCGGAATGCCGCCCACGGCGAGCAGGCGCTCCTGGCTGGGCAGGTTATTCTGGACGGCGGTGCCAACGCACCAGGCGGCCATGCGGCGCAGCTCGTGGGCCTCGTGCTCGAGGCAGGAGAGCAGCGGGGTCCAGAGGCCGAGGTTGGCGATGTTGTTTGCGTTGTCGAGGTTCTCGATGAGTTGCTCGAAATTGTCAAAGGCGATGAGCTTGTTGTCGAGTGTGATTTCCGGGTCCGGGGAGGTGATTGCCTCCATGGAGAGCTTCATGAGCTCGGCGTCGCTGGGGCCGTTGCCGAAGAGGGCTGCGATGGCCTCGGGGTTGAGGGTGCTGGCGGGCGCTCTTACGGCGGTGGCATCGGCGGGTGCTGAGGTGCCGTTCTCGCCGCTAGTTTCTTGGTTTTCGATACTCCATTTGAGGAGCTCGTTGAGGTGCTTGTCACCCATGATGGATAGTTTGCGGTGAGTTTTTGGAGGTGTAGTTATTTGGAGTAGTCCCTTGAAACAACGAAACCTTATGACGGTTTACTAAACTTGCTGCAAGTCTGAATGAGAAACTTGAAAGGCGTGTAATGTGTTGATGTGTAGAGTTTGTTTGCTATCAACTCCCTGTCTGTCACTCACTCTCACTTGAACTCTCATCAACATCAAAAAGTTCTCCATCACCAAGAGCCACTTCCCGCTCTGACTGGCTGCTTCTGATTTGCTACCCTATTCTGGAACCTTCAAGAAGCTTGCCAACTTTCGAAAGCGGACTAGCGTCGATCTCACGTGAGGAGCCCTGATCAGAGCCAGCTCAATGCGTCGTTCATGCAGCTCGAGTCTTTTGAAACTTGGGCAGACAGACTTGTCGCCAGCGAATCTCTTACAGCCCAACAATGGGATCATGCAATGGGCTGAGTTGGCAATTCATCTGCCAGTCAAACATTGGATACCCTCCCGGACTCTGGATCCGGGAGTCTTGGGCTCGTCGAGGGAATGGTCGAAGACAGTCTCCTACTGTAGTGAGGTGGCTGGTAAAAAGACGTGAACCAAAAAAAAGTTCCAACTGCCCCACCATGGAGTGAGTTGCCCCTCATTGCCGCTTTAACTTGAGGTGGCCATGGACAGAGCTTCCTCGAGGTACCCAAGCTATGGTAGGTATTGCGACGCTGAGCTGAGCAACCTTCCAGCGATGAAGTCACTGGAGCACACGAGACCTGGCAACTCGAATTTGCTGTATCAAGCTTTGGATAACCTCAGGTTTCTCAGCCTTGCATCCTTCCATTATCTGAAAGCCTTTCTGGTCGTTCATGTCGACATTGCATGGCTCGCTTGACAGGATGCAGCAATCAGGCATAGCGTCCCCGCCACATATGACAGGTTACAGCTTCCGCCGTATTCTCCTATCCGATCTATGCTAAAAGGACCCGATCAACGGAGACGCCGCCCGGCAACCCGGAGCTCCCAGCTCAGCCACACTGGAAACGTAGCACGGCGTGTAGTTGTCGCCCGCGCTGTTTCTTGTTGGGCTTCCCACACAAAGCTCGAAACACAATTTATGGACACAGCACGCATCGGCAGGTACTTGTCGAAGACGAGAGCGAGCCCGTGAACGAGGTTCCAGCCCAGAGCATGTACGCGAGATGCGATATGCGAGGCTGGCATCCGAGAATCCCATGCCAACTAACCCCCTAGGACCCCGGGCTCTCGTTCCCGCAAAAGGCGTCCATACGCGGGTACGTAATTTGAACCACCAGAGCCGCGACCCCATCAAGCCGTGTCCATGAGAGTACGGCCCTTGCAGGAGCCAGGAGGCAGCTTGGTAGGCCCGTCGTTCGGTGGCGTCGGCTTCGGGGTGCCTGGAGCCTGGAGGTACCTGCCAAATTGCCTGGTCCGTCTGCTGTGCTTCCGTGCCCGTTCTTCGCCGCCTTTGCTTCCGCCGGCCCGACGTGCTACCTATGTATGCTATGCAGACGAAGGGAAGGAGGCAGGTAATGGTGCTGTGAACCAAAATAGATTGCCTATGCCTGCTTGGCACCTTTGTCCGTGTCTTTGTTACTTACGGAACAAGATGACGTACGACTCGTTGACGAATGGACGAGCAATAGGACGGCTGGCATGTGGTTTGCTGGCGCAAATCCGCCCGCCGCCATCGAGCATGAACCAGGCGGCCGCGGCGGGAATCTTGTTGAGAGTCTCACGTGGGCGTCGAGGAGCGGCCCTCCGTTCCACAGTCCATGAGGAGATGGGATGGATTCGCGATACTGTGTCCGCTACCTGCCGTGCTGCAACGCTGTCCTCCTTGCCCAACTGCTCTCCGGGGCGAGATGATCTCGGCCAGGCTGGCTCCCATGATCCCATGTTCTTGGCCTGGGTTAACCTTGTATTCTCATTAGACCGTAGCGTGCGTGCAGGTGGTGGATGTGGGGATGCCCTTGAAGATGATAGAGGCGTCACAGTCGGAGTGAGAAAGGCGCACTGTCAGGCCTGTAGCTTGGCTCGATTGGTCCGTGGTCGAGACCGTGGAGAGCTGAAGGGTATTAGGTGAGCATCTCTCACCGTCGGTTTTAAGCTGCCTGAAGAGCAGATGGTGAGTGACGGATAGGCTGACGAATGCTATTTGCTTCAATAGTCACTGCCTGATTGTTCGAAGTGATAGATAAGGCACGGAGACTGACGGGCTTCTTGTTGGTATTATTGTTTGCTGTATTGAATACAGCAAGAAACGACTGAGGAGCAATTCGTTCGGATACGATACCTGCTCCGAGAATTCAGTAAAAGTGCGATTATCCGAGCATCGACGGGATATTTGCATTGCCCACCAACATCAAGACCAAATTGAAGGCACGACCCCCAATTCGACTTCAGCCACCGGAATCAGCGGTCCAGGCCGGAGAAAAGAAGACAATACGGATACTCGGAGGGTCGCGCATCTCGTCTGCAATATCAGAGGTTCCTCTTTGCCTTCGCACCCCAGTATCACCAAAAAAAAGGGTGAGCGAGTGAGTGAGTGAGTGAAAGTGTGTTCCCTCCCGTACCCCACCACACTACTTTGCCAGTCCTGCGCAGTTAGCCCCCCCGAGCAGCAAAGGAGCAAAAGCACGGGCCATCCCCGAAGAGGACGGGGGACGGGGAGAAAGAGGCGAGAGAGAACGCGCAGCCTCCCCTTCCCACCTTTCCCATTCCTTTGTTAAAGCGGCAACTCAATCCCTCGGGGGGCGCTGCCACTTTCTGCCACCTGTTCCACGCTCTTGCCCAGCCCACTGCCCACCTCACCACGTCCATTTGCTCACCCACAAGTCGGGTTAGGTCTCCAGCTGCTTTCTGACATCGAAACCTGGCCCGCCAGACAAATCGCAGCAGCCAACGAAACACCGAGGAGCCAAAGCCAGCGCTCACCGCACACTGTGCCTGCCATTCCCACTCTTCTCCTTCTTCCCCCCTCCTCCACCCAAAATCGACTACCTCTCATCTTCCCGTAACCTTTCCCACTTTCGACCTCACCACCCAACGACGCCCTCTCCCAAGTTCTTTGCCATCCGCTCAGGACTTTTGCCAGTTCCATCTCGCTCCTACGATTCCGGAATCGAGTGAGCTGTCTTCGTTTTCATCCATCTTTCTTCTATTTTCCCAGTCCTCACCCACATCCTAATTCAAAATGGAAGGTACGTGACGCCATCTCCGTCTCTGCCAGCAATTCACTCCCTGCTCCACGACGCCGATGCCGCCTCACATCCCCTGGCCTCATCGGAGTCGCGATGCTCTAGTCCATCAATATCCGTCCTTCTGCTTCACTTGCTAACATATATCTCTGCAGAGGAGGTCGCCGCCCTCGTTATCGACAATGGGTAAGCTTCCCCGCCGTCTCACCGACCATTCCGCCTCCTGGGCCCAAGAAGGGATCTGGCCAATCGTCATCCCTCGCGATAACCCATTGGCATATGACCCGTCGATACAATATATCCTACAATGAGTTTGGTTCTAACTCGTTCCCAGTTCGGGTATGTGCAAGGCCGGTTTCGCCGGCGACGATGCGCCCAGAGCTGTCTTCCGTAAGTTCCCCCTCATCCGCAGACCGCAATCTTCTCCGTCAGGGGTATACGATTTCGGTCACCCATACCCTAGATTGTTGATTCTAACTGTTCACTAGCCTCCATTGTCGGTCGCCCCCGTCACCATGGGTAGGTCTATCTCTTGCTGCGGCAATGCCATCTCCTGCGCTGCGACCTAACATGTGCACAGTATCATGATCGGTATGGGTCAGAAGGACTCCTACGTCGGTGATGAGGCACAGTCTAAGCGTGGTATCCTGACGCTCCGCTACCCCATCGAGCACGGTGTCGTCACCAACTGGGATGACATGGAGAAGATTTGGCACCACACCTTCTACAACGAGCTCCGTGTCGCCCCCGAGGAGCACCCCGTCCTGTTGACTGAGGCCCCCATCAACCCCAAGTCCAACAGAGAGAAGATGACCCAGATCGTCTTCGAGACCTTCAACGCCCCCGCGTTCTACGTCTCTATCCAGGCCGTCCTGTCTCTGTACGCCTCCGGTCGTACCACTGGTATCGTCCTCGACTCCGGTGATGGTGTCACCCACGTTGTCCCCATTTACGAGGGTTTCGCTCTTCCCCAGGCCATTGCCCGTGTCGACATGGCCGGTCGTGACTTGACCGACTACCTCATGAAGATTCTCGCTGAGCGCGGTTACTCCTTCTCCACCACTGCCGAGCGTGAAATCGTTCGTGACATCAAGGAGAAGCTCTGCTACGTCGCCCTCGACTTCGAGCAGGAGCTCCAGACCGCTTCCCAGTCATCCAGCTTGGAGAAGTCCTACGAGCTTCCCGACGGTCAGGTCATCACCATCGGCAACGAGCGTTTCCGTGCCCCTGAGGCTCTGTTCGCTCCTTCCGTCCTTGGTCTTGAGTCCGGCGGCATCCACGTCACCGTCTTCAACTCCATCATGAAGTCTGATGTCGATGTCCGTAAGGACCTGTACGGCAACATTGTCATGGTATGGTTTCTACGGCAGTTCCAGTATCTAGCTCCAGTAACTAACGATTCTACAGTCTGGTGGTACCACCATGTACCCTGGTCTCTCCGACCGTATGCAGAAGGAGATCACTTCCCTTGCTCCTTCTTCCATGAAGGTCAAGATCATCGCTCCCCCCGAGCGCAAGTACTCCGTCTGGATCGGTGGTTCCATCTTGGCTTCCCTGTCTACCTTCCAGCAGATGTGGATCTCCAAGCAGGAGTACGACGAGAGCGGTCCCTCCATTGTCCACCGCAAGTGCTTCTAAGGTATGTCGACGGCGCAGCGAAACTACAGCATGCGGCAAGAGCTGATGATAACGTAGCGTCTTACTTCCCGAATCACATTCTCGCCCTTCCGAAAACACATCGATTCCAAAGAGGCAACGACCGGTGCAAGGTCTCCACGGCGTTGCATATACCGCAGTCAGGTCCTACATTGGCGAAAAGTTGTTGACATGGTCAAGAAGTTTGGGTCGACCCTTCTCCAGAAAGATTTGGTCCTTGTTTTGTAGCAGGGTGCGCGTGGGCGCGTATAGGGGCGGATACGCCTGCAACTGAGGTCGATCATACAATACACTTTGCTTACTGTTCCCGAGTTTCGCACGCTCGCTTTTTTAGTGATGTTATAACTTCACGAGAATGCTTTAGCCAGGAGTAGAAATGGACTGATCTGTTGATACATATTTTGCTCTGTGCAACGAAGTAATGTTTGATGTTACGGGTTTTTACTTTGTACAATGGAACTAGGATCAGCTGTATGGGAGGTCTTTACTTCCTCAGAGCTTGGGTCGCCGTTCGTCTCGTCTTGAACAGCTTCTTCGCTAGCTCCAACTTCGCTCGCCTCACTATTTGCTTTTTCCTCTTCAAGCTGACGGTACTTTCTCTTGCTCTTCTTGGATGCACTGGCGGCCTTTTTGCGCTTCACATCGCCGACAATGGCGGAACGACTCTGGTCGCCATTCTGCAGGTTATCAATCTTTTCGGCCAAGATTTCGCGGGCAATCTTTCGATTCTGGGAGCGGGATCTGGTGGCTTGGGACTTGACGACTATGCCAGTGGGTATGTGTTTGAGCTGCACGGCCGAGCTCGTCTTGTTCTGTAGGAAAGGTGGGGTGGTCAGTACAAGAAGACCATGACGGGAAGCAAGCTCCTAGTCAGTCATGCGGTCTAAATCGAGTCGCATCAGGCTCGAGTGTCGGCCGCATTGCATTGCATTGGTTGGTAGAAAAGGACAAGCGAAAGGCCCAAGGTACGACTCGGGTCAGTGGGTTCTACACGTACAATCTTCTGACCACCCGGCCCGCTGCCTTTGAGGTAAGATTCCTCGATGTCGGAGTCTGGAGGGGGCTTGGGCCGAGGTGGCATCTGGTGCCTCTTTAGCGACGCGGAGGGGGATGTGGTGAAGAGGGCGACGAGGGGCAATGGTAGTGACGGCAGCGGGAGCAGCAGCGCCGGCCTCGCCGCCGTGGGAGGGCCTCGGCGCATGAAGGCATTGGCGTTGGATGCGCCCGCCTGGAGGGGGAAACGGGTTAGAAGGGGTAGAGGGGGAGGCATCGCGCGCGCCGGGCCATTGTCCGTGGGTTGCGGCGTGATGGAGTGACGGTTCGAGGTGAGGCTTGCTGGTGAGGTTTCGTAGGTACGAGGTTCGTTGCTTCACGGCGCGCGTGGTGGGCCGGGCAGTTCTCCAGCATTGGGCCCGGTTCGGATGTGGAGTGTTAGCAGCCGGCGGACGGCTGGAGGCCGAACGGGAGGTGCATGACGATTAGCCCAGGTGCCCAGGTGTCGAGATCAGAGAAGTTGTGCTGAACTGCTGGTTCGGAGGATTTGGGGAGGTGAGGCGGCCAATGAGAGGTTGAGTTTACTCAGTCTTTACTGGAGGGCGACCTGTAAATTAATTCCCCCCACTTTTACTTTGCTGGCATTGTGGAACCCAACTCTTCTCTCCTTTCCCGTCAGTGCTTCCCCTGCGGATCTGTCGGGTACAGCTTTTTGGCGGTGGTGCTTTGCTCAGTCACTGCTGGGTGTTTTGTCGCGTGGGCGGGCCACCAATTTCACTGATAAGATTCCCTCACCCCCCGTCCCGCGCAAACCCCGTCCTCGGACGATATCCTTAGAGTTCGCCTTTTCTGATCCCGCAAACTTCCCTTCGATTCCTCTCGCCGCAAAAGACGGATTCTACAGAGGTTGTTCAGCATTCTGTACGACGGACGTCAACACGACATTTTATGAACGAATTGGCAGAGTAGGCCTTTTAATCCTTACCACGACTTCGAGAAATCGCCTACCTCCTTTTTTTTAACCTGTGACCGCCGCCGCCGCGACTTTCAACCTCCGTCAAACACCGCGAGAATCGAGCGAGCGAAGACTCCTCCTCTCAATCTCAGGAAAGATCTTTGGAGCATTCATCTGAGAACGTACGAGAAAAACAACAAAATGTCGGCCCTCCAGTCCTTCAGCAAGTGGCTGCACCTGAAGCAGTACCAGATCGAGGTCACCTTCAGCGTGTACATCTTCACGCCCCTGGAAAAGTTCATCTTTTGTACGTTTCTTCTACCCTCGCTCTTCGTCTCTGAACCTATTCGCGACGACAAACAGCTGCCGCCATCTCTCCTCTCGCAGAAACCAGAAAGATCCGTCCGGCTAACAAACACCCCTTCTTGCAGACACCGTCCTCTTCCTCCTCAGCAGCTTGACAATCATCGCCACCGTCCTCTACCTGCCCCAGCACATCGCCTTCCTCATGAGCCGCGCCTGGTTCTACATGCACGGCGACCCGATCGACGCCGTCGTCGACACCGTGGTAGATGCTGTCGAGTTCACAAAGGCCGCCGTCGAGAGCGTGCTGATGGCCGAGAAGACAGGTACGACTGCGGCCGCGCTGGCTCAGCAGACTGTCGAGCTCGTCAAGGAGTTGTAAAGACTCTCTTCACTTCATGAAGGAGGGGCTTGTGCATCCCTTGCCCTGCAGGCAAGTCGGCAACTTTCTATGACATGAAAACGATGCATGCCGAATGAACGAATGGGAGGAGAGTCAGAGAATGAACGAGGGAGTGGGACAGGAGGATCTTAATGGCGAGACATGGACGACCGGACCGCCCGATGAAGAGCTCGAAGGGCGTGTCGCATGTTGAGCGCGGAAAATGTCGTTTATTCGCTTCTGATGCGGGCGTTTCATTGGGGGTTTCTTTTTAATATGAACCAAGTGCATTCAGTTCAGGTTCGGATACGAAAAGGCATATACATATACGTACTATAAACTCGCATCACATGCGGCGACGCGTGTCTTTTAATTCATATCCATTCATACATGCATAGGACTCGGATCTCAAACGTCTTATAGGTGTCTACTAGGGTATCAACGAGTGCTTTCACAGCGTAAACTTCATTTCATTCATTCGTTGGACCTGGACGGCGCGCCTAATCCTGTGAAGCTGTATACGCGCAGGGAGCTATCTTCACTTGCGATGCCTAACTCGTCTGTGCTGCTATCGCTCTTTGATGGTCGCCATGCGAGTTGGGAAACGGGTTTCGGGAGGCATAGGCTTTGAGTTGAGAGGTCAGCTACCGTGTTCAAGTTACACTAAACAGAGTTACGAGGGGAAACTTACCTCGACGCAAGCTGGAGTGTGCCGACCGGCTGGAAAGTGTCAGGGGCCAGCGTGCAAAGAGAGATCTTGCCAGACTCGGTGCCGACGGCAAGGACAAGCTCACCACCGGCACCCCGTCTGCCGAGGAAGTCGACGGCCGTGACGGGCCCGTCAAAGGCAATACTCGAAGCCAAGGTGAACTCTATTTTGCTGACGCCTTGCTCATCCTTTGCGGCCTCTTTGCCAACCCAGACCTTGGCGTTCTTGTCACGTCCCGCCGTAACAAACACCCTACTGCTATTACCATCACTCAGCGACAGAGGCGCCCACGCGGCGTCGAGAATCATGCGCGTGTGGCCCTTGGGGTTCGCCTGGAGGAGGGAATACTGCTGCCCATCGCTCCCGCGCTCGAAGACGGCCCACTGCCGGTCTCTGCCCACGCTCAGGAGGAAATGGTCGTCTGGGGAGAACCGCAGCCTCGTGACGGTCAGGGTGTGCGCCGCCAGCGGTGGCCTGACCTCGGTCCAGCGCTCCGTCTCAAAGACGCGGATGACGGCATGGTTGAGAGAGCTCGCCTTGCAGGCGCTGGCGATGAGCTTGCCATCGTGGCTGGCGGCTAGGCAGGAGATTTCGTAGCCGTGGCCGTAGAGCTTCTCCGTCTCCGGCCAGAGAGTATGCCGCGAAAGGGACTCTTCAAAGGGCGGGTGGTCAATGTCGAGCATGGACTTGCGGACGACAGTGGCCGGGTCAACGGCCTCGCGGTCGTACTGGTCGTCGGCTTGTACTTCCTGATCGTCGTCGACGGCGTCAATAGCCTTATTGGAGAGGCCCAGCACGGGCATGTTGGCGCCGTCTGGCATGGATTCCGTGGGTGCGCCGCTCTCGATTTCGCCGAGGGTCTGCAGCATCTTGGCGACGGCGCGTGGCTCGCTGAAGACACGCATGAGCTTCTCGTCTGCGCCTGAGACGAACTGAGAGGCGCCCAAAGTGTCGATGCAGTTGAGGTCGTAGCCGTGGATCTGGGGACGGGACATCTCATGCCACGAGCGGGCGCCAGTCACGGCATCACCGCGCTTCCAACGGGCGTGGAGACGTGTTGTCTGATCCGAACTCGTGGACACGAGGTAGTCCCCTTCGCGGGACCATGCGATGCCCGTGACGGTTCTGGTGTGGCCGCTGACGGCGATGGCGTTCCTCCACTGGTCGCGCTCGTTGTCGTAGACCCAGCGACGCCAGCTGCCCGTCCGGCCCAGGCAGACGACGGACTCGCCGTCGGGTGCCCAGAGACCTGTCCAAAAGCCGCCGATGCTTCCCGTCGCCGTCGTCGCGCCCTTCTCTCTGCTGATCTCGCCTAGCCTGACCATGCTGACCCAGATACCGGAGGTGCTGTCGGCCTCCCACATGGCGAGGGAATTGTCTGCGGAAGTGGAGAGTAGCTGGAGCTTGCCTTCGCGGCTAGTGAACCACTTTGCGCTGTAGATCCAGTCTTCGTGGCCGAGAAGAAGGGCCTCGAAGGTAATGGAGAAGTCCTTGCCGGCGGATTGAAGCCGGTGTGCCTTATTTGAGGGGGACTTGCCCGGCAGATAGGCACCGCTTAAAGGATCTGAGCCTTCCGCAGCGAGTGATGGCAACTCCTTGCCCAAGTGCAAACGCCAGAGTCTGACGTACTTGTCTTGACT